GTTCAGCAGCCCTGAGCCTCGGGTTTTGGGAGCTGGGGGAAGGTGGTGGCTCCATTGCTGTATTTACTGTTGCTTTTTTAACTGGGCGCTCAGATTTCTGCTAGTTTTTCTGTTTCCACCAATATCCAGCAGCTGGTGCTAGTGGATAAAAATAGGATGGATGCTGACACAGGGTTCAGGTTTCCTCTGAAAAGGAGGGTATGTCTCACTTCTGCTACTGACTGAAATTCCCACCTCTGAGAAACACTGACTTCAATAAAAAAAAAAAAAAAAAAAGAAAAACCTAATTCCTTTAAAGCCATGAGCAGGAGGTGTTCTGTAGCAGCCACACAGCCCAGGCCTTCTGTGGCAATAGGAGGCAAATTTCATTTCATGCTTTCATAACTTTAAATACGTCACTACCATGGAAAGGAGATGGCACTACTGACACTCGGGGAGCCATCAAGTGAAACAGAGAGGGTTTCCATTCGGAACACCCATACGGGACCTGCCGAGGGCTGAGCAGAATGTTTTGTCCTGAAGGGCTCACGTTTCTGGTCTGTCAGCATCCTCCCGCGATGCTGATGCAGGCACCTGCCAGGACACGCGTAGGATACGGGTCAACCTTGGGAATAACAGAGGGAAGGCAGCAGGGAGGGCAAGCAGGGGCTGTAATGCTGACCTAAGCCCGAGCGCGGGGCCGTGTGTGCGTGCAAGAAATGCCGACGCACACACAGCCTGCGCTCCGACCCCTGCAGTGTGCAAGGGACCACGTCATGGAGGGTCTGCAGCAAGGAGGAGGAGGAGGGTGGCAGAAATACTGGGTTCCTCCTGTTCCTCTGCCTGATGGAGACGAGGTGCGAGCCTCCTCGGCCAAAGGAGTCATTCCAGGCATTTTTATCATCGTTGCCCTTTAACCCAAGGCGTGAGGCCCAGGCTGGGCTTCCTTCCTCTCGCCGGCACAGAGCTGACCACTGTGGGACCGGCGCGAGAACACAGAAAGTGATGAAAAACAGCAGCCCTGAGGCAGCGCGGGCCCCAGGGAGCAGCTGTCCCCAAACCCCCCAGCGCAGGACACGCCCCCGGCACAGTATGGGGACCGTGACACCCCAGCCACTGCCGCAGGGTTTCCCTGTGGCCAGGCTGCACTGGCTGCGTTTGACGAGGAGCCCACCGGGCTTGACTGGTTCCACGCATGCACTCCCGTAGCTATCTCCCTCTCCTGACATTTGGTCAAGCAAGCAGACCGCAGTGCTGCCCCTGCTGCCCCTGGCCATACACCGGCCGTGCTGGCCGTCCCCTGCTTTGCTGGCAACCCCACGGTGTTTTTATTTCGGATGACTCACACAATATCGATTAGTGCTGGGCTAGGGAATCCAGGTGACATCAGTAGGTCACACCGCCCCGCCATGAAAAAGAAAAAAAAAAAAAAAAAAAAAAAAAAAGAGGGAAACAAAAGCGAGGACCGAGTCCGAGATCTTCCCGTTTTGGGGAAAAAAGTCCTGTGGTTCCCTGGGGATGCTTGTGGGCTGCCTGCCCCGGCCAGAGCAGAGCCGCGACCTGATTCTCTTACGAGTGTGCTGCCACCCGTCCTGAGATAGGGCCCATGGGGAGCTACCCCTTGCCTGTCTCTCCTCTCTGGGCACAATGTTCAATTTCATATCTCCTTCGCCAGCGCAAGCACCCTTTGCTTCCCAGGTGGGTTGCGAGCGCATTGCTGCCTGCACCCATCGCCTTGCTGGGCTCCCGCACCCCCAAACCCCACGCTGGGCTCCGCAACTTGAGCCCAGGGTCTCCCAGTGCCTCCCATGCACCCAGTGATCCCAACCAAACTCAGGGCACAGCCCTGATTTAGCAACCGCCCAGCAGGCAGGGCCCTCCCCGCGGCCCCCGGCTGAGGGGAACGGGGCTGTTGCACCACCCTGGCTCTGCTCCGATTCCTGCGAT